CTGCTGGGAGCCAAGGACTATTTGAGCCGTGAAGGTTGCTCCCGATCCCCTCCAGATCACGGCAATCAGAAACCTGTCCTCAAGATAAAGAGCTGCAGAACGCGGTACTACTGTCACCGCTGCAACGCATCCCCCGACTGTAGCAGTGTCCTTCTGCCGACTCCTGGAAAGCCCCACCTCAACCATTTGGAAACCGCCGCTTTCGACCGCTCACCACACCGCTCCGAGGTGTGGAGCGTTTTGGAAAGGACACAGCGCTACAGGTCGCCATGCCAAAGCTTTCAATAATGCAGGATGAAAACACACCGAGATTCAAATGCACGTGAGATTCAGTCCACTCCTCTAAGCATTTTTGATTTGCAAGTAATTTATCGGTTTTCCATTTAATTACCAAACACAGCTCAAAATACATGCACGATGTGTGAGAAACAGGGAGAAGAGAAGAAACTTAGTAAAAGTGGGTTTGAAGGATATCTGTAGAAAGTTGCAGGATTGCCACTATTGCTGTGCTTTTAAAAAGCACTGTGGAAAGCTGAGGTTCAGAAATTCAGAGCTCGTGCAAGGAACAGCAAAACTGCAGTCTTACAGCCTAAGCAGGCTCAGGGTATCACCTATTTCACAAACAGGCGAGTAAAAATCTGGGAATCCAGGCCTCGCTCAAGAGCTGTTAATCAGGAATGGGCTCTGCTTGGTAGAAGGTGCCATGCCTGCACAGTGCAGGCACAGTAAATCCCCAAACTGCTTTTAGTCAAAGCATACAGGCCTGTAACATCACGTGCTGAGCCCTGAGGGCCAGATGCTCGCAGCTGGCTCTCGCCCATGGGCCCGTAGCTAATGAATTTGAAGGGCTGGGTTCAGTGCAGCCAGTCGCTGCAAGTCCTCCCAACCCAACAGCTCACCTCCCCGGCCGCAGTGCCCAGCCCACGCTGTGCCCCGATGACGGTCTGTACTTCCACACGTCTGAGGGAATTAAAAAGGAACAGCGACTGAAATACCTCTAATGCTTACTTGTTTACATGCATGTCCTAAGTGCCCTTGACATCATTAAAAAACATAAGCTTTAACTGCATGACTAGCAACTCACATTTTCTTTTCACCTGCAGTCAAATTTACAGTTGTGTTTGTTGGCTTGTAAATCCGTGAATTTCAGCTTGGTGTGGACAGACCCCATGGGAGCAGGAACTCTAAAATTCACACATTCTCCCTCCTTTCCAGGGAAACACTGAATTTCCAATTCTTATGGACCCAACCCAAAGCCAACCCACACCAGCCAAAGTACTACTGCCGACTTCAGAGCGCTCTGAATCAGGCCCTATTATTTTAGTTTATTGCTCGCAGTTAAAAAAAGAAGCTGTTGAAATGCTAATCCTATTCACAGCACCACTTGCTAAGAGCAGAGCAGTGTATCCCAGAGCAAATCAGGATTAGGAGCCTTTATATTTCAGAATTCAACTCCAAAATACGGAGCGCAAAGAAACGTATTACAAAGTATTGCTTATCTACAACGGAGCAATTCTCAGGGGTCGGGAAGAGGAACAGTTGTAAATGTTAATAGAGCTTCTCCCATTGTAGACAGATGCTATTTCTGGGCTAGTATGACAGCCTACGAGAAAACGATCAGCATCGTTCCATATTCTACTCAAGTGACACTGCTGCATGGCTGATCACAGGATTATCTGGGGTAGCCAATAGAAGAGAGGATATATATAGAAATAAAAGTATTCTCTAAGGTATAAAGTAAGCTGATTTAAAAGGCTGGAAGACAGGCAAGCCAACATAGAGAAGTGGACTTTATTTCAGTAGCTGCCGGCATCGGTTACGTGGTCTGTATACGCAACTTAAATCAAGAGCCAAATAATAGTATTGGTTACTACAATTGCTACTATTTTGTAAATATTATCTAAAACTTGCATCCAGCATTTTCCCTCTAGTTAGTGAGGATTTAAGATTAAGGAAAGCCATGCACAGATGGGTTTCTAACTTTTAAATTTTTTTTTGATTGGTCTTACAAGCACAGTGGCTAGGAAGACAGAAAGCATTTCCTGACAGCTTAGTAGACTGGAAAAAATAACTCAGCCGAGTTCCCTGCTGCATGCTACCACTATGTGGGACAAGCAACCCTTACTGCACACTCACTTGACGGATGAGCACTTCTCGGCTTGCAAGCACAATGCTGAAACTAACTTGGGTTTATAAGAGTCAGAAAGCAACCCCTTGTTATTGATGGGAGATGTCAGGCAGAAAGCCATGAAATGGGAAAATTCGGTGCAAAGAGGATGCTCAGAAGCAAGAGGAGAGGAGCAGGCCTTTGAAGCAGGGCAGCAAACAAATGTCTCGATGCTGGGACTCAGAGTGCAGTGAGGAGGGAGGACACCCAGGATGCCTGCACAGCAGCCAGGCCAGCGGTACTCGCTCACTGGGGCACACAGGGCGAGGAGCAGGACAAGTCTCCAGCAGGACAGTGGAGACATTAGCTGGCTGAGGAGCTGCAGAGACAACTCACAGGAGTGTAAGGGCAGTGTGTCATTTGCACAAAACTAAGCAGACTGCGGCATCTGTAACAGAGAAGGGAACTGCAGATGCTGCTCAGATAATGAACAGCACAGCGTGGCAGCACGGGCAGCCTTTGGAGAAGGGCAGCCATACACGGCAACTCAAGGCTGGGCACAGTCAGCCAGCAACCGCTTCTTGGTCACCTCTGGGTTAAGCAAACTATGTTTTATATCAGATTGGCTTGTTTAAAAACATCTTTGTCCTTGGCGGAGAGGGTTTTCTTTACAAGCACCATGAGGAGAGAGACTGATGGGGTCAGCAACGAGGAGACTGTATTTTCCAGACAGTGAGTGGGGCCATACAAAGAGAAAAACAAACTCCTGACAATTACTATGAAATCAGAGTGGGGTATTAACTTCAGAGATGCAACTAAATGGGCAAGAGCACTCATAAACACATCAGGCATGAAAGCAAAGCTAACCATCTTATTAGCATCCTTCAGAAAACAGGGATGTGTGGTTTTATGCAAGTATATCATTGCTAAGTTTAAAATACCCACTGAATTATCACAGGACTTTCAGTTATAGCTGCATGCAGTAATCCCATTCTCTTAAAAAAAATACAGACATATATAAAAATACAGTGACATTTATAGTCCTAGCTAAGGGTTTTGTGGGTTTATTCAGCTTTAAATCCGTGCTGTATATGGGTCTTTTGAACTAGTTGATGCATGTAACTACATCCTATACCACAGAAGCCACTGAAAGGAAGATTCACTTTATAGGCCAAAGCAAAAATTGGTTTGGGACAAACAGAGCATTGAGATAATCTGTTTAAATATTGTATCAGATTGGCCATATAAAGCCATAATGGAGAGAACAATTTCCCCTTGTTCTGAGGGCTGGATACAGAGGGCATGGATAAAGCATGGCCCACAAGCCCTTTCAGAGCACAGTTGATTCCTATTAGGAAAGAGAAGTAAATGTATTCTGTTTATTAGCCACAAAGCTCAGATAATGAATTTAAAATAAAACCACCCTCAGTCACCAGCAATTGCTTATCTACTAGATGTGGATATTTAGCTAGAATCAAATCAATTCGCCGAGATGCAATACAGCCACAAAGCTCAGCACCTCTGCCTACTGCTGCGACCACATCTTTCCCATCTCCACAGCCCTGCGCAGACGCCCTCTTCTCCACTGCTGCAACCACAAGTCACTCGTCTTCGCCCTCAAGGCCCTTCCCAGCCAAGTGCATTTGCCGTGGAGGTGACAGCTCCTGTCTCCCCGTGGCTCGTGATGCCAGCCCCAGCACTGCCGAGCTCTAGTCTCGGACTGTTGTGCCTTTCCTACAACCGTGGGAGAAACTTTGCAAAATATCCATAAAACCACCCCACGATTCTCCTGCTAATTCCTTCTCTGCCACACCTACAATCCTTGATGAGGTTTAGGCGTCGAACATGCCAAGTTTGAACCTGTCTTGGGCTCTCCTTACTTGTATCGCTTGGTTATCTCCCACCTCAGATAGATTGTATTTCCACGGCATAGGGAACATCTCCGTGTTCTGCCTGCACAGCAGCTAGCGCAGCTCTGGCCCACAATTTATTTTTAATTAAGCAATATGGTAGCAGTTCACTGGTTTTAGAGAGTAAGTTAAAGATAGAGGGTGCACGTGATGGTTTCAGAAAGTCACGCAGGAGAAGCTGACGTGGGGGAGGGCGAGGGGCTTATTTGAGCCAAATATCCTGCCTTCAGCAGTGGATATTTGAGGCTACATTTGTCGTCCAGGGTGCAATCTTGTGCACACAGAGCTGGAGGAGGGGAGTCCTTCCTGACAACTGCACTGATTAGCTGGTGCCCTGAAGAATGACGTTTGATTACCTTTATCTTCGGCTGCAGAACTGCAAATGTCACTAATGGTCATAAAATCACCCAGTCTTTTTCAAAATACAACCAAAGTAAATTAATCTATTGAGCACAGTTTATTCAATACTTCTTACTCTGGCAAAACTCCCAAAAAAATAATTTGCTTGCTGCATGTCTCCACCATATGGTGTCATTCAATGCAGACTTTCTTTCCTGCATTGAAATCCAAAATTCAATGGTGTCAAGTCACCTACAGAGTTTTTCTAGCTCAAACCTACTAACATAGTTTTCTGTCAAAGAGGTCGCACAGCAATTTCTGGTTTGGTATATTAACCAATACCAGCACGAATCCTCTTTTTGTAATTAAAATCAAACTCCTCTGGTTTTAGCAAGTTTGGAGTAAGCGTTATGCCCTGCACAGAGAAGAGCTGATGCCCAGTACCGGACAATGTCAGCAGTCTTTGTCTGGTTCCAGAACTTGAAAGTCTGGGCCCGTTGCTGGTATACTGTCCTATCTGCAGGTAGTTTCTCATATCAACATCTCAGCAATCAGTAAAATAAACCAAAACCATGACATGGAACTGTACTGGGAAACCAAAGCAGCGAGGCACTATTAAAGCTCTTGAAAGCATTTATTTTTTTAATGGGGCCATTTTAAATAGAGCCTTACTGCCAAGGAACAAGGGACAAAAGAAAGAAATTCTGGGTACTAGGTACACCTACAGCAGGCAACAGATAGATGATGTTTTTGCTAGAAACACGAGTTCAAGACCAGGAGAAAGATGCCTGACTGCATTTAGCTCTGCCAGTAATTCATCCTCTCCTCCAGATCTGCCTAGTGTCAGCTAGACCCTCCATGACTCAGTTTCCTCAGTTGTAAAACGGGGCCATGCTTTGACAACCCCGGTTTTGACACAATGATGTCATCTTCAGTCAACGGTTTTAGAAAAACATCATCCATCCTCTAGCCCCACCATCTATCAATAACATACCATCTCACTCGGTAAAGATTGTTATTATAGTGACGAGGAAGCCACAAAGCTCTGCTTCACACAGCATTTCCTAAACTTTGGAAAGCTGCGTATCCTTTCATGTAGCAGTCTCCCTTCGCCCTTGCTGTGCGCCCACCACAGATGCTGCTTAACGGCGCCAAAGGCTTCAGCGCTACGCATCCCTCATGCTATGCAGTTTTATGGCTCATCTTTCCCTCCGTGCTCCACCTATGACCTTCCACCACCCCTGCCCCACAGCTGTGAGAAAGGCTGGTATGCGCTGCAGAAGGAGACACTTCCCCTCTGTACTCACTCACTTGGATGAACACTGAAATAATTTAAACCTCAGCATTAACCCTCTTATCACTAGAGTCGGAGCAAGCAGTCATTGAAGGGGGTTTAAGTACTTCCCAATGCAATCATGACATGCCAGAAACATGCTCACGGGCAGCTACCACTGCTCAGATGACAAGCAGTGAATTGTTACATCAAGCCGTCTGGATCATTTCTGACTGCTGACCCACACCCCCAGGCTGCCATAGCTACTTTGGATAGATTTGCTGGTGTTTCAGAGAATTTCTACCACTAAGGATTATTCTGTTTTAGTGATAGTTGAGAATCCAGAGAGACAGTACAGAGCTCTGCAGTCCTCTGCCCAGCCCAGCCAGTCCATCAGGCACCCCGAAGCACCACTCACCCTGCCCGAGAGGCTGCAATTCAAAAAACAACTCCCAGAAATGGAAAATAGACAAAGAGGCAGTAAAATATTGTATCAAGTAACACCAACACTGGAAAACACCCAGTCCGCCCTCTCCACAGACAAAGAGCTCGGATAACAGCAGCCAGATCCCAGACTACATCAGCTTATCTGGACATCACAAGGCAGAAGAGCAGATTTGGCTAGCAGCAGCTGCAGGCCAAATGTGTCCCACAAAGCACTGCACTGCTGGAGGCAGCTGCCCTCATCTTTACAGCAGATGTCCATCCTGTGATGGCTTCGGTGTCTGGTGTGACATGCTCCATCATCAACTGATCTGAAATAGAGCAGATCCCACAGACCTTATCTCAATCTCTTTCTCTGTGGCCCAGCAGGTGGGGAACGCAGCCAGAACTAACCCAGTGAAGCTGCCTTTGCTGCTCTTGTTTACGCCTCCTCCCATGCTGTCCACTCGCATGAATCCAGCTTGGGTCTGGAGGGCTCCTGGACAAACCACGGCTTTGCTCTTGGAAAAGTTCTTTCCTTATTGCTATTTCCTTCTGTCTGTGCTCTCTGCATATGCTGCATCCTCAACAGCGGCTCCCCCACCTACCACAGCTCGCTTACTACCCCTCGCTTGGCAGCCCCAATCCTCCCTTCCAGTCCTTGCTGGACCCTGCCAGCATCCCACTTGTTCCACCCCAACCACTCTGGCATCTAAACCCAAGTCGTTTCCAACACTGCAGTCCATCATCCAACCTTACCCCAACCTCGATTCAGACTACACTACACCCTCACCACCCCGCCCATCTCCCAGCATTGCCCTCCACCCTAACCAGATCCTTTGCTGCACCCGAGACCCCAGTTCCTCCCTTCAGTCCACCATGCTCCCCCTCAAACAATTCATTTTGCCCCTTGAACACTTCTTTCCTCCCTAGGTCCTCTCCCTCTCTCTCATCAGCATCAAACCTCCACTTCCAGCCCATCCCACAGTGTATTTTTATCTCCTTTTCAGCCCAGACTGTCCCTCATCTCCCCAGCCCCTGGCAGAAACCTCCAGAACACACAACGTCCCACCAAACTATGCTAGCCAGCCAACGTTGACTGGATTTTCCCAGTGACTCACCAGAGCGTTCATCCCACCCAGGTGGCATGTTTCTTTCAGCCCCTGAGCACCATACCTCAGTCCTGTCCATCCCTGAACACCCAGCCCCTTCATCCAGGCTTTCTCTGCCATGACTGAACTCCCCTTCTAAGGCTGTTTATCAACAACCGGCCCTTCCGCTTCAGCAAGCTCTCCCATAGCTCCCTCAACTCCTGTAGCCAGGATCCAAGCGCCAGGGTGGTCCCTTCCCACCTTGGCTAGATTGTCCAGTGTCCCTTCACAGTCGCAGATGCTCCCAGGCTCTCCAAAGTCAATCCCTGAACACTGTCCTCCATCCTCACCAGCCCCCTCCATTGCTCCTTTCCTCCTCAGGCCAAGTGGGCCACGGCCGTCCTGCTCCCCAGCCCTCCCCAGCACCCAACCCTCCATCAGGCCTTCCATGCCTCGACGGAACCAACTCCAGGCAGGCTGATGCCATCCCATTAAGGGCCCCCCCGTAGCATCTTCAAGCCTCCC